ATTTTAACTGCACGGGCTCCCGGACAACCAGTTTTGGCCATGCAGAGTGTGCCATGAAAATTTTAGAGGGTGCATATTTAGTGGGGTTGAATTTTTGAGTGGAGCACATTTCGGTGGAGTTATTTTTTTTTTATTTCTTAAAGACATTTACTACTGTATTAAATAAATACATGAAGTAAATTTGGACATAATAGATATAATGACATGAATACACTTGCTGAGTAACTACCCAATGGTAGCACTCTAATGATATGGCTACATTAGGAGATCACGGGGCCATCTTCTTTTCAGACACCTCGGAGGGTTAGCAGGAATTGAAGAGGAAGCAAGGTTAGAAACGAGAGGGTTGGGATGATTCTGAAGTTTATTATGGAAGGATAGGTATCTGGATTGGGCCAGATCTGAAACATAAGGAATATTAAGATCTTTTTGGATAATTTTATTAGTGACAAAGTAAGGAGCATTGAGGATTTTACGAAGGATTTTGGATTGTAAGTATTGGATGCGAGAGGGATTCGATGGTTTAGTGGAGCCCCATAGCTCAACTCCGTAAGCCCAAATAGGTCTTATTACAGTCAAGTATATGAGTCTTTTGTAATTAATGGGAAGTTTATAGCGTTTGTCTAGTAAGCGCTGAAGTAATCGGAAACGTCGAGCGGTTTCTTGTCGTTTCAGTCTAGTATGAGGATTCCAAGTTAGTCGTTTATCCAGATGGAGTCCTAGATATCGGATTTGCTCAACAGGGATAAGTGGAGTATTGTTAAAGAAACTGTAGGACTGGAAGTCGTTGGTTTACGACGAAGGGTAAAGGTAATCTGGTGGGATTTATTGGAGTTTATTTTAATGCTCCAGTTTTGACACCATTCTTCTAGATTTATGATGTGTGATTGAAGCATTTGGGATGCAATTGCTGGGTCATTGTTTACTGATAGGATACATGTGCCATCGGCATATGTGGTGGTGACAGTGTTGGGACAGGTAGGGGTGTCAGCTGTATAAACTGAGAAGATAGGACCTAGGATACTACCTTGAGGAACACCAGCGGACTGGGTCGGTGGAGTTATGAATTCGCGGAATGAAAAGTTTTATACTAAGAGACAAGGGAAACATGGAACAGACCGCAGCAAGTATAGTTGTATATGATGTACAATTTTTCTGATTCTATCTTACTTGATCTGTTTTTAAGAAAAGGTGAGCAATAAAATCTCTTGGGAGGGGGAGGAATAAGTTCTTGCGCCATCGACCTTGGAGGGAATGGTCACCCCTGTACTAATGTGGAATGTATAGCAAATATGCAAATGTAAACAATCTCCGGTACGGTACAGCTCGCACAGCATAGATGACAGCAGCAGTGTAATCCAGCCTTAAATCTCTTGTAGAGGCTTAATTACTTTGTACGTCATCATATTTAATTATTCCTTTCTAACCATTACTTTCAAAGTCTTAAGTCACTTTATGCAGATCATCTTAAACTTTTTCCTCCCTTTAATCGATTATAAAAATGAAAAGACTTCTAAAATAGCTCAATCGCATAAACTGATGGGAACAAGATTCGCTAAATTATTATTATCACGGCGCTACAGCTCGGTGGCGAGTCTTTGCCTCCTCCACCAGCTTCCTCCAGTCATCTCTGTTCTGTGCGGCCATCATCCAGCTCCTGCCTCCCAGGACATCCCTTAAATCTCTTGCCACACCGTCTGACCATCTCAGTTTTGGTCTCCCTCTTCTTCTTGTGCCGTAGAGAGGTTCTGTCAGGATCATCCTAGGGATTGCTTCATTCTCCATCCTTGCCACATGACCAGCCCATCTCAATCTTCCAAGCTTCATCCTCAGAACGACATCTTTATCATTAAAAGTGGGCAAATCTCGGAATATGTCCGTCTTCTCCAATTTCCATCTATGTGCACTCCTCCAAATATTCTTCGAAGAATTTTCCTCTCGAAGATAAGAAGGTCTTGCTCAATTTTTTAGTCGTCGTCCATGTTTCTGAAGCATAGAGCAGGACTGGGTGGATTAGTTTTTTATAAAGATGTAGCTTGTTATGCCTGGATAAAAGGCGAGAGGTGAGTTCCTTGCGAAGGGCAAAGTAACATTGCTAAGCCATAAATATTCGTTTCTTGACCTCGACATCGGGTGCATTATCTTGTGTTACCAGTGACCCCAAATACTTAAACTGCGCTACTTTCTCAAAGTTAAAGGGGCCAATATTTATGGTCTCGCCTGGTCGAGGGACTTCTCCTGTGGCCATATATTTAGTTTAGCCTTCATTCACTTCTAACCCAAGTGCTCTGGCGGCCTCCAATAAAGCTAAAAATCCCTCTCTGACAGTTTGCAACGACTGCCTCACGATGTCCTCATCATCCGCATAGGCTAATAGCTGAACCATCCAGTTGTAAATCGTCCCATGAGTTTGCAGACCAGAATCCCTGACAGCCTTCTCAAGTGCCAAGTAAACAGAAGGCATGGAAACGCATATCCTTGACGAAGTCCATTCGCTAAATAATTATCCAATAAAATTCCGTCTAACAGTTAGAAATCTAGAAATAACGTGTGACCCTTCAAAAGAATCAAATGTTTGGGATTTTCGGCGCATCATCCAAACTTTAAAGCATCTCCATTGAATGTAATGTTTTATTAAAAAGTATAGATTATAGTTTCAGATTATGCCTTAAAATATAAGCCATTAATAAGTAAACCATAGTATTATCTGATAACATTTCCAAACTATGAATAGTGAAATTGTATCGATACAAATGCCATATCCTATAATGGTGGGAAAGAGTGAGTTCTTCTTCGTCCAAGGAACCTCCTCAGCCCCACATCATCCACAAATTGGCTTATTAGATCCTAACTCGCTCGTCATATTGTGCAAGATGGAGCAGCCATTTCAATATCCGCAGCAATGGAGCGTAGTCCAATATATGATAAAATACATAGCATGTAGTTCTGTGAGCACTAGATTTAATGGAGTCGCAATCGAAGAGATCAGTAATATAATTGCAAATTTATATCAATTGCAAATCAAACCGGGGCCACCGAATGCCTAATGCCTACACTGATTGAAATATTCAAATCCTCAAGCTCAACATAGTTCATTTTTATTACATTGCAAAATCAGTAAAACTATAGAAATTTATGTTCAGACATTTTTATTTAACGACCATTTTAGACTATTTCTAATGGTCTAACAAATCTTGCAGATCTTTGGCCGTAATCTTATTCACAGCTGACTATCATGGCCTACATCTTTCCAGTTTGTAGCGCATCTTTGTAGTTTCTACAGTATTTCTATTCCTCTGGTTTTTTAGCTCCCATGTGATGTCTTTTCAGCTACTGTGGCATTCATTGTTGTGTAGCGGCTTCCTGATGGATTGCTTCGAGCTACTTGGCCAGCCCACCTTAACCTCCTTGCTTTCGTATTATGAGATATAGTCTAAGTATCTGAATAGTTTTTTATTGGTTCTTCTTCCTTAACCATTATTAATCTAATCGCAGATTCCTCCGGTTATTGTGTGAACGTCTTTCCTTTCAAATCTTCCAATTCTTCTTTCTAAAGTGCTGTTCAGAGTCAAAGTCTCACAGCCGTTTGTAAGAACTGGTTTTATCACAAGCATCGTAAATAATTAAGATTTTTAGATATTTAAGTACTCTTAAGAGAAACAAGAAAGGTCCATTTCTCGTAATATAAAAGTAAATAACAATGGGAACTTAAAAAAAAATAGTGATTAAGTGGAAATAAAAAAAAACAACTAATAATAATAATAATATTAACATCTGGTTTTAAAATCTTTCTTAACAGCAGTGTTGCCTGCAATTAAAAATAATACATTTCCCATAGTGATTTATGATATATTGTGATCTAGTTATCATCTGTTTCTAAAAACATATGTTATTTGCATTTTTGCAGCGACTTATGTCATTTTTTAAATTTCACTCAATCACAATTTTTTTCAAGTTCCCATTGTAGAACTTCGTTCTTTCTTTCAAGAGTACTTAAATCTCTAAAAATCTTAATTATTAACATTGATTGTGATAAAACCAGTACTTACAAACGGCTGTGATACTCTGACCAGCACTTTAGAAAGAAGAATTGAAAAGTTTGAAAGGATAGACGTCCACATGATAACTGGAGGAATTTGTGATTAGATTAATAATGCTTAAAGAAGAAGGACCAATAAAAAACTACTCAGATACTGGTTAGACTATATCTCATAATACGAAAGCAAGGAGGTTAAGGTGGGCTAGCCAAGAGGAAGCCGCTACACAACAATGAATGCCATAGTAGCTGGGAAGATATCACGTGGGAGGTAAAAGAAAACAGAAGATTAGAAATATTGTAGAAACTACAATATATAAAACTACATGTGATGCAAACTGGAAAGATGTAGCTCATGATAGTCAGCTGTGAAGGAGAGGGGGGGCGGGGTGGCCGAATGGGCTAAAGCGTGTGCACAGCACCGCGAGATGCCCGGCAACCAGATATATGAAGTTTTGAGAGACAAAAATAAGTATGAGTTCGCGTCCCGGTGTCGGAGGGGATTTTAAATTCCCTGCCCTGACCCTCTGGCCCGGGGAAATCCCGTATAGCCTAAACGGCGAGGTAGGGAAGAACAAAAAAAAAAAAAAAAAAAAAAGCCTGTGAAGAAGATCATTTACGGCCGCCAAAGATCTGGAAGGTCTGTTAGACCAATAGAAATAGTCTAAAATGTTCGTTAAATGAATATATCTGAACATCATTTTCTATGGTTTTACTGGTTTTGCAATGTAATAAAAATGAACTATGTTGAGCATGAGGGTATGAATATTTCAATCAGTGCCGGCCTTAGGAATTCGGTGGACAATGATATAAATTTGCAATTATATTACTGATCTCTTCAATTGGGACTCCATTAAATTTACTGTTCACAGAACTACTTGGTATGTATTTAACCATATATTGGACTACATCTCATTGCTTTTTTAAGCACATGTTTTAGGATGAAGATCAATTCACATCATGATGAAGAACATACCTTTCTTTTCTGAACTTTATTTTCACAATACAAATACTGAACCATTTTGGTATGAATACATAGGTTTTGGCGCTTCAGTGGATAAGATTGTCTGTGGTCCTTAGGCTAAAACATTTGGAGACTACTACGTGCTAATGGTTACTCTATGAAAAGTAAGAGCAACACAGTAAAAAAAATGGTGAATACCCATCTTCAATGGTTAAATTTATAATTATGTATAAATAATCTGTTAATAATAAGTTCTAATATATTGAATTGCGCCCAGGATCTGCAGCAGGTGATGGTGCGGTAATAGCAGATCAGGTGCAATGCTGCTCAGCGATGTCCGGCCAGCTTACAGCGCTTATAGCAGCGATATTATGGCTCCAGGCCACGGCGGTGCCGGCGGGCAACCACACCTGCACAGGCGTTATCAAGTCAGTATAACTATTGCTAAATAAATCGATAACTAGTTTTGTAAAAACAAGCCTAGAGCTTCGACTCGAGTCGAGTCGTAAAAGATCGAGTCCTGAAGACTCGGCTCTAGAGCCTTTAAAACTTGAATCTCCAAGGCTCATAGGATTCTAGGCTTGATGAATTTATTTATTTATTACCAAATTATTGCATCGTTCCTCCTGTTCGGGAAATATATCAATCTTGTGCTGTGTATCCGCTACTTTATTTGTTTTATTATTTCCAGTATGGCTTGTAATATTTCTTTTAAAGTGAAAATGTCGTGGTGGACCCATGATCAATTTTTAGAAGGGACAACTATCTCTAGTACGACATTACATTGCATTTGTAAACTTCCTTGTTCTTTTTGAGATTTTCTTCTGTAAATATTCACCATGTCTCTCACCACTACACTGAGTTAGAGTGGCTCTTCCCCTCAATTCGAAGACAATATTTCCTAGGTATATTACTCTATCATATCATCAACAATCATCGTCCTTCCTAGGCCTACAACCTTTTCCAATTCAAGTCCTCAGTCCACTCACTGTCCACAAGATCTCGACCTTCCGACCTTTACATTCCTTCTCACCGATCTGCCTCGTTCCAAAACTCCTTTATTGCTCGTTCTGTTAATTTTTGGAATTACCTTCCTATCAAAATTCGGCATTCTTCATCCCTATCTACATTCAAAACCCTCCTATTCCAATTCTTGTTCCAAAAACAGTCAGATACCAGCTAACATTTTATGTAAAATTACATAATAATGTATTCACATATAGCTCATAACTTAAATACTTATTATAGATTCGACTTTCTTTTTTTTTTTTCAACAGAAACACAGAGTTTACTGCTAAGAAGAAGTTACATTATTTTTTTTTCTGTATTTATTATTTTTTCTAAAAGTGTATATTTATATTTTAACATTGTACATAGTTTTAAGTGTCTTGGTAAGGTTTCAAGAGTTTTGTAATATAGATTTTTTATATAGTATAAGCAATATTTTTTTTATTGATTTATCTTTATGTTTGTTTTTATTTGGCCAGATATAACATATTAATTTTGTACTTTTTTGTTATTCTGAAGGGACTTCGTCCCAGAATAAAATTATTTTCTATTTTATTCTAAATATCTTCAATTATTTTATTTACTTATTTATTTATTTAAATCACATAATAATAAAAACACTCAAGTGATGTTACAAGGTAAGGTTAATTTCCTGACTCACCTGGCGGAAAAAATATGTTAACTATTGTTGTCCGGAAAATAATGCAGGAGTTTGATTTATAAAGAAAAAAGAAAGATTTACATATGTTTTATTTAATCAAAATAGTCTCCACTACTATCAATACATTTCTGCCAACGTGTTGGCAACTTTTCCATTCCCTGGGGAAAAAATTTTTTCATCTTTAGAATTGACAAACTCCAAAAATGCATTTTCTAATTCTCTTTTTATAGAGTTTGGAGAGACATTCGCTTGTGCCTCAAGAGTAGTGTGCCACAAGATAGTAGCGCAGTACATGACTACACAAAACAGGTTTTTACAGAGTGAACCAACACAGTGTACCCATCACGGAATCACCACAAACTAAATTTTATCCGCTGTACCAAAATTACCCACCCAGTCCCAAAGTTACCTGATCTTAAGGTAACCTATTTTATTGCAAAGAATATCATGCATAAGGTATATACAAATCAATCTTTTTCTTTAGATATTACGCTGTTGAAAATTGGTAACCATAATTTATAATATTAAGCAATGTTTATTTTATATGATAATAGCTTATATATTTGTAATGGGACCTGAAAGATTTTATTTTTATACAGAGAATATACTCATGGAAGATCATTCATATAATTATCACATTCTTATTAGTTTCGCATGTTATGATACAGACACCCAGTGAACGTGCTAGTGAATGTCACCGAACCAGTTACTTTCCGCAGCTATACCTGGTGCCTCAGGGTCCCTCCTCGCTGCTCCAAGTACACAGTCCAGCTCAAGGATAGGGTAAAGCTACACGTAAGTTTGTTAACACGTACCCTCTAATTGATACCCTCTAATTGTGTACATTCTCAAAGTAAACTTTAATCTGCCCATATCGAAGGTGGAGATGCACAACAAGACGATCACCGTTTGCTGCGAAGGCTACGTGGAGATGGAGGGGCGGTGCGTGCCCGCGTGCCCCCCTGGGGCCGACTGCCCCTTCATGAGGTGCAACCGGACCAACCACTGCCACTGCACTCCGGGGTACACCGGCCTCTACTGCAACGAGGGTGAGTAAGGCATAATGAACAGGTTAGCATAGATTATCGGATTAGTCTTAGCAAGTGATAACAATATGTTTTGGCGTAAGAAAAACAATATATCGACAGCAACACTGCAAAAGCCTGTAAGAAAAAAAAACTAAACATTTTCAAAATTTTCGGGAACCTAATACTTTTGTGACACTGAGTGGCAAGACACAATAAGAATATATATATCTGAAATGTGGACGGACTGAGTAAATACACTTTGAATGAATTGACTTCAATTGTGAGGCATATAGGACAACTAAATAAAATGGCTTTTCATTCCTGTATATTAAAACCATTTATTTTGACAATTGTAATAAATGATCTATTAAAGTCATAACTGTAGGCTTGATATTTTTATTCTTCAGTGTAGTAGGTTTCTCTTCTCAGGTAACATCCTTTCGCCTTTGTGTCCCAGCTTCAAGTGAGCTCTCTTCCCTCCAGCGTCCTTCTCCAGCTGTTGCTACCTGCTCGGTCCTATTCCAACCTTCTTCCTCCTTCGTCGATTGTTTATCGATATGAGACTTTTCAATGAATAATTTTTCCACTGCACAATTGAGTAAAATTCATCGTGCAACCTCACATTCCTATATATTCCTTCTCATTCTCTCACACAATGTCACATAAAAGAGTAAATACTGGGGGATATCTACTACAAACTGCATAATGTTTGTTCTATGAGCATTATATTTACGGCTTAATTGCTTTGGAGGCCTAAGACAAAGCTGTATGTAAATGCTCTATGTAACTTTTCTGATCGTATTTCTGTCAGAAAATCTTTTAGAGCTATAACTTCTAATAGTCCGTGGTACAGACCCCTTTTTATTGAATTATTAACATCCGCCTAAAACTTCGTAAATAATTTCATCTCATTGTAACCTACAACATTTGATTTTCGAAAATTCTTGGAATTGGGACGTTTTCACTCTGGAGGGAGGCAAACATTGTCTATTTAATTAGGTACTAAAAACTCGTATTTACCCATTCAATTTTTACTTGGATCGTAAGATAATTTGACCACAAAACGAAAAACAATGTCTCCTTCAAAAATATTTAGCCATTTGGCGTGACCTACACACCCAAATTCTCAAAATAACTAGGTTATATAGGACAAAAGGTCCAATATTTTTTTAGGCCACTTATTTTATCGATTTTTCGATCATATCATCTTACGATCCAAGTAGAAAGCAAATAGGTATTTACGAGTTTTTAGTACTTAATTAAATAGACAAAGTTTTCCCTCCTCCAGATTGAAAACTTCCCAATTCCAAGAGTTTTCGTAAATAAAATAGTAGTAGGTTACGATGAGGTAAAACTATTTACGAAGTTTCAGGCGAATGTTAATAATTCGATAAAAATAATACAGTCAAATGCATAGCAAATAGTTATGTGGGTAGTAGATTTCATTAAGAAGGGGATATTGCTTCTAAAGAAAACAGACGTCATAATTTGAATCTCTTTTGTTCACCAAACTCAAAATATACATAATCTTCAATATTTTTCTGCAGTTTATTGTAACCATAACATAACTTTTCTCTTCGCCTTAGTTCGCATTGCCCTCTTGTATTATCAAAGACATCAGTAATATAATTGCAAATCTCAAAGCAAAAAAATCCTAATGATTCAACTATATTGAAGGTAGAGATATCAAAGAAAAACACAAATAATCACATAATCTGTTGTACGATCAATAATTCATTATCATTGAAAAAAAAAACTTCTCAAAATTACTTCAATTTTTTTTATCTGATTTTATTTTACTCCACGACACGAATGCATAATCAACAATATGGAATAAAGCATTTAATCCACCGCTGCAACTACACAAGTGCAGGGTACACCGATCTATATTATAGCAAGGGTGAGTTAGGAATACTTGTCAGATTAGTACATATTGTCGGATTAGTTTAAGCATGTCTTAAAAAATATATGTTGTGTTATGAAAAAAATATTCATTTTGCTCTAATATGTTTGCAAAATAGTCATATACATTTGGCTCCAAATCATCTAAATACTCTCAGATTAGTTCATAAAAGATCGGTTCATTCATCGTTGAAGAGGTCGAGTCCCACTATCCTCCCACTAATACATGAGGGAGAGAAAATCACTTTCAATGGTGACGTAAACAAGGGATTGACAGCATTGCCAAAACTGACCATTTTGATAACTCCCATCACCTTTAAGGGTTGTCGAACAACGTCGATTCCATTCTTTCTAAGGATCAATAATTCAGAAGTAAATAGAAAAGATTTTAATAGCATTGGAAAAAATGGAAGATTTATATAATTGAGGATATAGTCAAGAGATTTCAAACACGAAGCCTCATGTCTGCAATATACCGATTAACAACAAGCTAGACAATGATACTCAAACCAACGATACCTGAAACAAACGTTTACAAGGAAAATGTTAACACGTATATTAGATATTCAAGGTTTGTATCCGCCATCGTGTTTTTAAAATTTCGAAGCGCACAACAAAACCCTTTATAGTTTTAAAGGAACTATTCCCGTGTATTTATAACAAGCCCTGCAGTTTAAAGCAAAAAAAAATGTACCGATTTTGAGATAAATCGTGATTCTTGCCGAAAACCTATTAGTTGCCAAAGTTGCTATGAGAGACTTATTACATTTTAAAAATTGAAACATTCCTATTTATTCCTATTCTTATATATTGATATATAATTATTCTTCGACGAACTATATATCAATTGAAAAGATAAACGGAGGAGAGTATCTTTATGGTTCCTTCGGATAATATAGAAAAAAACTTTTTGATATTTTCAATAGAACGGAATAATAATTGGCTTCTATACTCTTAGTAAACAACAAGCCAAACCTCTTCTGAAGCAAACGAATCGGTCTTGAGCAAGTACAACAATCGATTAGAATATTTTTTGGAATCTTAATATTATACTGCATCGATTATAGGTCGAGTGCATTTTAGGGAAAAGGATAGATATATTATGTGAGAGAGTTCTCATTGGAGTATACTACTAAAATATAATTAAAGAACTTTCTTAGTATCATTTTAGAAAAAAAGTATTTATATTTATGCATTAAATTTAGGTACATTATAAAATATATTTTTGTTTTAGCTTGCCCACGAGGGCTTTGGGGAAAAGACTGCAAGCGGCCCTGCGACTGCCCGTCGGGATACACCTGCCACCATCTGACGGGAGACTGTTTTGTTGACGACAGACCACCAAGGAGAACAACCACGCCCACAACAACAACAACAACCACCACCATAACCAGACCAACAACAACCACCACCACTCCAACAACGGAAGGTACAACTTTAGAGACCGTGAAAACTCCCCACTTCAGGTTCCCTCCCCCTCCATGGGTCGAATCAGCGGCCGATAGCAAGAAGACCACGACGCGCCAAGTGAAGAAAGATGAATCTCCACCAACGAAAGAGATGGACGTTATACAAGAAATTTTAGACGTGACTACGATAAAATCTCAACTAGAAATTTCTCTACCCACTCTAGCAACAGTGCTGAATAAAACAAGTGTCGAAAGACCTACAAGCATTGAACTTTTTCCCCCGCTATGGAACGAGGAAAAAGTGAACAAGAAAGTTGTAGACGGTAGTACAAATTTTAAAGAGTTAGAAACGGTTGAAGAAGTTCCAATAAAGCCGCTGTTACCGACTATTGTCCTATCAACGTCTACAGAAAAAGATGAATCACTAATAAATGAAGAAAACGTAATAAAGAAAAATCCAACATTATCAAAAGTAATAACTACACCCATTCCTACTAGTCCAACGTCAGAATATCCAAATACTTCACAACTTCATACTGTTACTATCGAAACAATATTGCCAATTGATTTTACAGCTAATAACCAAAATCATACCGAACACTCGCCAATAGACACCATGGTTCACACACCTGCTCTTTTCGTCACTAGAGCTACAACTAAATTACCGGACATTGTAACACAGAGACCCATCATAGCTACAGACGCTGTTACAACCCAACAAATTTTGTATAGCACGAAACCAGAACAAGGTACTATCAAAAATGATATCCAAAAGGAAATATTTACTACTCCAATCAGTTATCATACAATAGAAAGTGCTGTGCTAACTACCACTCACGAAAACATTTCTAGTCTGGAAAAGAAGTCAACAATAAATCCACTTGTTTTTCATTCTAATGAATCTCCAAGCACGACAATTACGACATCGAAGAATGAAGAAATCATAAAAGAAAAGGAACCTGTGTTAGACAACCAATATCAAACAACAACGCCTATTTTTATTAATCCAACGAAATCAATTCATTTGGAAGAAAAACACTTTACAAGTACATTTTCAGATCCTGAGACATCACCAGAAACGATTGTTTTAAAAACCGAAAACACTCCTGCAAGTTCTACGTTAAATAATAAGTTTCCATTTATTCTCTTACAAGGATTCAGTCTGCCACCATTGCCATCTACAACAATTACTTCGTCCTCGAGTATTCCAAATCACGAAACCACAAATAGTTATCCGGTTTCAACAACACCTACATCATCAGCTACATATAATCAAATTACCTCAAAAAAATCACGATTTTCTTTCCCTCCTTTGGTAAATTTAACCACTGTAGCTTCAACAACTTCAAATTGGTTAACAACGCCACTAGATTTGACAACAACTCATGCTACTTCTACAACCATTAAATCTACCATAACCTATACAACAACTACTGAATCACCTACAATCACTACATTAAACGCAAGCTCGCCATTAGCGTTTTCGAGAACAAAGAGTCCTTCGAGCTTTGCAGCAACAATGATTCCTGTAGCAAACACTACTCCTTCAACAGCTCCAACTACCACAACTCCTGTAACCTTAGCGGTAACTACTACCACTGAACCAACAACGGTTACTCCATTGAAGACAGACCCCTCAACAACTGTTACTCCATTGAAGACAGACCCCTCAACAACTGTTACTCCATTGAAGACAGACCCCTCAACGACTGCGACGACATTGATGACATCGACTTTTGCAGTTTCTAAAGAAATATTTGCAGAAGGAAATAACGATGACACGAGTAAACCTCAAATTGAAGAAACAGTACCAATACCTACATTGGCAACAGATATTATTAAGGATTTCAATGCACATAAAAAACTGAAACCTGATGAGGCATATAGTATCTATTCAGGCCAAGATAAGCCTAAAAAGAAACACGAAAAAATTAAACCTAAAAATGTAAACGCAAAAGAGTTTCCTTCTATATATCAAACCAAGACTGAAAAGAATGACGAAAATGCAATGCAACAAACGACTAAAATATCTCTTAGGAGTATTCTACAAGCTGAAACGTTTATAAATAAGATCATAACGACTAAAGCGTCTAGGCCTACAAAAACACAGCCAACGCCAGACTTCATTGATATAAATTTTGTTACTGATGAAAGACCTTTCATAGAAACTGTAAGCGTTGCACCCACGCAATCAAAACCAAATCAGATATGGCATGCACTCAAGAAACAGAATTTTTCTTCCAATAGCGGATTGAAAGTGCAGGAAGCATTGGGCATTTTGAAAGAGCCATCTGAAATTTCAGAATCGGGTTTCGTCACAACTGAAATGAATAGAGTCATGGAATCGAATACAATTGACTATCGGCAGAGTTCTGAGGAACCAATGAAGAAAGTGCTGGCACAAGAGGAGGAGACCAATTACTCACTCATCTTCAACAAGATCAAATTCAACATGACAGAGAGCATCGCGGCCGGAGTCAAGTTGTCCAGAGAGGAGAGCTCCTACTTCCACCTCCCGATGATCCTCGTTTTAGGGATAGCGTTGGTGACACTCCTCCTGCTCACCTTGACCCTCTGGGTGTACCTCAAACGGCGGCGGCAGCGAGCTGAACCATTTCCTCCTTGCATAATGGCATACGCAATGGAAGAAACACAACCGATGGGTAAGTATTAAAAGGCTAATATGCGAGCTTTAGCTATTATTATACTACAAAACATTTTATTTTGGTTTCATATATATTTACTTTTTATCACCTTCCTATACACTTCTTCTCTATACGTATAACTCTCAATGCAAATATTCCATTGTCCGAAACAGTGCTGTCTTCTTCTGCCAGCTGCTTCAGGATGCATCAGGAATGTTTCAGCAAGAACGTGGATGTAGTAATGTTGATTGATAGTTTGAGCATCAGGAACCAAGTAAAGGTGCACCATCCCATGAGTATCGAAAAAAACAAAGAACATTCCTTTGAATTTTTATTTGCTCATTTCAAATTTTTTTTTTTTCATACGTTGAAATTGGGTTATTCCAGTGCATGGATTAGCACTTCGTTTCAGAATCATAATTCCGTTGAAGCTGTGAAAGAGAAAGCGGCACACATCCTGAAGGAGCTCACTAAAGAAGAAGAAAAACATCACGATATTGGAGAAGGGAGCTGTTATAAAGCAGCTATAAATCGATGATCAAGAAATTTTGTATTATTTAATATTTTATGCTTGTACAGTAGTGGAAAATTCATTTCAGTCCGAGAGTCTGTGAGAAAAAATCAACATTATTTGATTTAAACTTTAAAAGATTTTTAAAAAAACTAATTTTAACATTTATATTTAAAAAATGAATCTGCCAGATGAATCTTGCTACCTGTAAAATGGCGGCTGATGTAAAGAATACCAGTAACTTGAGGATCGAAACGGAAAATTTATTCCGTAAAATATAGGAAAACTTTTTATTGTTTAATTTGTATGCAAGGATTCAGAGATGTAAACAACTGAATACGGTTTTAAAAACAGTGAAAAGGTTTTGTCACTTTGTTGTACTTTTTAGGAGCTGCAAAAAAACAAAAAAGATTGAAATAATCTTGCTTTTTTCGCTATAAAAGGTTTTTCCTTGATGGCACGCGTCAGCAATTTTGTATTTACATGTCTCAACCAATATATACAAGTTTAAAAAAATAAAAACTTTTCCCACATTTTTCACAATTAATTTCCCGTTTCGATCCTCAAGTTACTGGCCTAATATTCATTAAATCAGTCGTAATTTTTACAGGAAGTAAGATCCTACTGGCAAACTCTCATTTTTTAAAAAAAGATGTTATAAATATTCAAAAAATAATAGTAAGAATATTTATTGATTACTTATCAAAAAATAAAAGTATGAGGTTATGTGTACAGCGTTCAGGCGGCAATTCTCGTAAATTTTTTTAGTCTGTTTATTAATTTTAAAAATATATAAAATTTTTAAAATATCAAAACATCACCGTTCTTGCTGACAGAAATCCTTTATATAATCAAAACTAATGTTCACAATAATATTTTCCAAGTTTCGTTAAACTTTTTTAACGAACATAAAAAAAATATTTAAAATTAATTATTATTTAAATATTATTTAGAGAATAAAACCAGGAACTCAACGATAGTTGAAAATTTTATTAATTTTACAGATTGTGACAGCTACGATCAGGCATTCTTCTGCCCTACATTTACCAACATCTATGCGGAAAAAATTAACCGAGGTAGGTACTGTTCAATTATTATTGATTTATTTGTAGTCAGTCTACCTTTTTTTTTTTTAGATTACTCCTTACCTCGCCATTTTTGGTATAATGGGGAGTTGTTCTAGAGGTGCAACCCCAAACCTATTCTAACCAGAGTGGGGAGGTCGAGATTCATTCTGCCACGAAATAAATTCTAACTCGCCCAGACAGGGTTCGAAACGACGTCGCTAGCCAGGTGTATGCTAAAGCTTACGAACATCTCCATACTGTAAAATGTTTCGGGCCAAAATACAAACAAAATGACCAACAGATGCTACGAAATTTTACTTACTTGAACCATGAAAACAAATTTCAATAGATTAACATAGTTTTATTATAAAATTAATAATAATATATTGAAGTTAACATTAGAAAAAGGAATTTAAATCAAAAGGAACCTCCCAAAAATGAGTGCTAAGAGTCCAACAACGCTCATATAAAAAAAAAATTCGGAGCGATTTTTTTGTTTATGTGTCATAGATTGAGGACTATTTTAACGATTTTTATGATAAGAAATGTCCCTAAAGACATTGAATTTTAGGTAATTTTCTGGTTTGAGGAATGAGTAACAACAAATACGTCTATAAAGATAATTGTAATTATAATTTATAGCACGTCTAATGTCTATAGAATACAGGTTCCTAGATTTCATCTTATTTCATTTCTTATCATAAAAATCGTTAAAATATTCCTCAATCTATGACACAATAAACAAAAAAATCGCTCTGAATTTTTTTTTTATATGAGCGTTGTTGGACTCTTAGCACTCATTTTTGGGAGGTTCCTTTTGATTTAAATTCCTTTTTCTAATGTTAACTTCAATATATAATGTAACATAATTTGAAAATATATTGTTTGTGACGGAACAATACTTTTTTTAGAACTGCGGGAACTGCATTATGACCACCCGAGGAGCAGCCAACCGGAGCCACTCTACGCTGAGATTTTTAACTGACTTCAAATAAATATCGATTTATGTATTATTTTGTATGCAATGGAAATGTATTTTTAGAAATGTAATTATTTCATAATGTTTGTAATAAATGTTTTTTTTTAATAACAATTGAGAATTTATTCATCTTCCCACCAGTGTTGCCGTTCGTACGAGGATCCTCGTATTTGAAAGAAGTTATTGCGTATGTAATTTTTGATGACGTATGGTAAGTTATATTTTTATGAATGATGTTTGGATTTGCTTTAAAATTATTTTTACTTTGTTATTATTCATATTAATACTTACTAAACTTCTGTTGCTTTAAAGACAAAGCAATTGCAATTATATCTTCTTTAATTAGAGTTTGATTATTATTTCCTTCATAAAACCGTGATTGTATATATATATAGATATATTTTTTAATTTTCAAGAAAACAAAATTTAAAAAAATTGTTGCCGTCATTGTAAAAAAAATCGTTTTTTATCGAGTATAAAATAAAATATAAGGAAGTATATCCTTCATAAAACTACGATTGTTACATAATTAATTTAAATAGATTTAAGTAAGCAAAAAAAAAATAAAAAATTAATAATAAAAAATTACTATTTATTAATTTCAATAATATTCTACCAAGTTTCGAACTTCGATGAAATCATAATGTTTTTTTTTATTTTTTACAAAAATTAGGCCAATTATCACCAAACATTTTATTGATACGCTATTTAATTCGACGTTTCGACCATACTAAGGGTCATTTTCAAGTCTTGATGAGTCCTCCGTTATAGATTCATCATTAATGTCGCAAATAATATGTTCAGTGAACATTAAATTGTCATGGTCTATAGGGTTTCACCTACGTCATTTATGGAGGGACTGTTCTGGAGTAGAGAGACTGGCCTAATTTTTGTAAAAAATAAAACCTTAAGACACCAAAATTAGGACAAATGAACAGAAGAAATATAATAATGTGTTTTCGCTTTATTTTTAATAATTATAGGAATATTTTATCCTTTAAAAAAGTTTATTTTTCTAATTTTATTTTTATTGAATGTTTATAATAGTTTCTAAAAATGTATACTCTTTCTTATATATTTAATTCCGTGCCTTTAATTAAACTCATTTTACTTCTTAACCTTAAAATATATGAATAGAAAAAATATATATATAAATAAACCTGTACCACTACTACACAACCGAGGGGTCTTGGGTGCAGTACTATGTGAGAAAGAACTGTTACAAGGCCAACGGTCTTGCAAGGAGGTGACGGGCCAATATCACGCTCAACCGCCAGGTTTTCCCTTAATTATTTTTTTGAATTAAGGGTACCCACTTTGTAATCACTGGGTGTGCTCCAGGAGGGTCTCCCTATCCCAGGATCGATCCACGACTATTGATAAAATATCTAGTCATTAGCCGGACTCGAACCTAGGACCTTGAGCTCTGGAAGTCAGTGCTCACCCACTGAGCTACCCCGCTCCCTGATAGATAAGATCTAATCTAAAAACAATAACACTGGGCTTACAATAGTACGAATTTTGAATGAGCAATTGTACGAGGCTTGAGGTACGAGGATTTGTCACAGAGCGCGAGGCAACACTGCTTCCCACCTACATCAATAACTATCAGATTTTATACCTTTATAAGCACTAGCGGATCCAGGATTTAATTTTGGGCGGGCTTCAGCCCGAAAGCTTTTTTTTTTCATAAAAATTACGATAATTACTTTGGAAAAAAAGAAACTAACTATCTATATGAAATGGTATTTAAGTGGTTCCTAACGTCCTTTTAAATGTAATTACACGAACAATAATACTTTAAGAGATAACTTTTAAATATATTTTTCCATAAAACATGGTTATATTTTACCATTTTGGAAAGGGGGGCTTCAGCCCGAAAGCCCACCCCCGTAGATCCGCTCGTGTTTATAAGGAATAACTCAAACTTTCTATTTTATCAATCAGGTCCTAATCTGTTTAGAAAGGTAAATTTCCGCAATTTTTATAGACTGTGTAATCTTAAATGCATGGTAAGTTTTTTTTTGAGGTGCAAAACACAAAAATTATCTCTGTTTCACCCTATAGAAAATATTTACCCTCACTTAATTACGTCGGTTGGTCAACTTTTTTTTCAATAATCAACTCATATAATATTGAAAGATTGGATAGAAACTATAGTAATTAATAATATAATAATTCCATTTCATCTACGTTTCATAATATATTTTTATTATAAATTATGATTACCTGAGTTATGACAAATTCAGCTCGTCAAACGATCGACGTTGCTTTAGAATATTCTTTTGGTATCCTTGGAATCTGTTATCTTGGATGAATTAACAACTTCAAGATTGGAGAAACTGTAATTCAAAGAGGAGATCTTTCCTCCATGTCAAACTATTCCTTCCAAAAAGCTTCCATTATCGGTACTCGGACTTAAACCTAAAACGTTCACAATTATATAAATTAAATATTATGTTTGTAAGATATAAGCTAATATAGAGAGGGTGTAAATGTGGTAGTAAGAGGATTGTATAAAACACTTAACATGTGGCTTGCAGAATGCCCTGCTCTAATCGACGGACCGCACGACTTACGTGTGGTTCACAATCGCTTCGGCCACATTTGTTCATGATGCGCCGAAAACAGCCTTTCGGAAAAACCCGGGTGAATTTGGCACTTCATAAACAAGTGTGACCGAAGTGATTATGAACCCGTGCGGTCCTCATCTAAATAATTACCAAAATTGGAGGATCAATCTAAGTAATACGAATAGAGCGGGATACAAACAACTTTTGGTATTTGGGTTAGCATGTCTTAACAGAAATCGATCATACACAAAGGAATACTAAGGTGATAATAGTGAGGTTTTTTATTTTTTTATATGTATTCTCGCATGCGAAATTTCAAAAATTTTCAAATTGACAGGAATTAATGGGACAAGGGTTGTTGCGATATCGTTTAAGTTCCGATATTTCTTGTTGATATCGATATAGTTCTTTTATATATATATTATTACAAAATCGAAGCAAACATACAGTTTTTACCAATATCGAATGATATCAATATCAGAATGAAATTGTTGAAATAGTTGTCAAATATGTCGTCGGTTTAATGAAAAAAGTCATTAGGATACTTTTCATAACCTTAAATCTCTCAGAAAATTGTGAACTAGTTGTACATTTATATTTGAAATACATGAGTAATTTATATGTAAAGGTTTGTGTCATTTTAATGCACTTACATTTTTTTTCTGACTATAATCTGTCAGTGAGCCTCCTTTTTCTGGATTACGAAAAAGTATTTGACTCTCTAAAAACCGATTGTATTATAAATATGTTGAAAAAGAGGAACATTAGTTCAAGAATATGCAAGATACTGGAAGATATGTAATCGAGATCCAATGCAGAATATAAATCAGGAAATACAACAGTAAAAATAAAAATTTGTAAAGGTGTACGATAAGGTGATACCCTTTCTCCTAAAATATTTATATCAGTTCTCCATGATTTGATGCAAACTATGAATTGGCAGAACAAAGGAATGAAAATTTTTGGAGAGTGTCTGAACCATTTAGAGTTTGCAGATGATCAAGTCCTAATAAGTAAAAATAAAGAAGAAAGAAATAAAGAAATCCAAACGATGGCAAATCAATTAATAAAGGCTGGAGAAAACATAGGACTCAAAATAAATTATAAAAAATGCAAGTATATATTAGTGAACGTTTAGGGACATATAAAAATAGGCGAACAACATATAGAGAAAGTAGAAACATTTCTATATCTTGGGCACCTTATCTCAATTAAAGGACAAACTGAAGAAATAATCAGGCGATGTACCCAGGGATGGCGCGTACTCTTCAAATTTAAGGATATATATAGATCCTCGGTGAGCTCAGATGTCAAGAGAAAACTTTGGATGAGCACAGTACTTCCTGTCATGACATATGGTTGTGAAACATGGGCAATTGACCAGAAGACTTGCCACAAATTGAGGATAACCGTCAGAGGAATGGAGCGATATCTTCTCGGGATAACTCGAAGGGATAGAAAACCAAACAAATGGATCAGAGCTAAGACGGACCTTCCAGATATTGTGGAAAAAGTGCACATCAGGAAGTGTACCTGGACCGAACATGTAATCAGGAGCAATGAATTAACATGGACCAGACAGTTTATGGATTGGTATCCAAGAGAGCACGTGAGGAAGAGAGGACGCCCGCCGACAGACTGGGACAAGGAGATGAAGAAGACCTGCGGGGGAGCAGCCTGGAAGAGAGTAGCATTAGAGAGGAAAGAATGGAAAAGGAACTCAAAACCTCAACTAAGTTGATTTTGTACATATAAGAGATTTTGTATATATGTATTTTTATCCATTGTTTTTTGCATTGTATGTACAAATAAAGGCTGTTATTATTATTGTTTTTCATCGATAAATTAGGTCGAAATTCATAAAAGTTCATCTTCATAAAAAAATGTGACTTTTTGCAATAAGCCGACGTCGTGAACTCTATTTTGTAATATTTGGAGTTATTTAAGGGCTCATTTTATGTTTTTATAATTATTAATTGATTCAGGATTATATTGTGAATGAAAAATTAAAACATTTAGGAAATCAAGTTTTAAATAGTTTTATTAACCATCTGAATAGAAAAAAATTATAATAAACAAGATAAATGGGGATATCAAAATGCTATATTCGCTCTTTTCTTTCGATATATTAAGTTAATATAGAATCCATTTGTTACGATACTTTATAGTAGAAAGGAAAAATATTGATACTATCGCAACATCCCTGAATGAGACAATTCCCAGACATTGCAGGGACGCTTCAGCATCGTCCCTCACAGGTGGGAGCTTACGAATACAACTGTGTACTTCACCAGATACAGAAATATCAACCACAAAATATCACAAGAGAATTATTTTCCAACCCTCAATTTTATAATAATACATACTTTGAAGAGCGAACAGAGCCATCATCAGGAGGCCGGTCGGGATACAAGAAATCGCTTCCACGATGTTCTAACACGGTCATTCTAGTCACTTCAATCATTGTTTCAGCGGAGCGGTAGATGAAGATCAATTTGGCGTACAAATATTCTTCAAGTTTATAATTCTTTTGTTCCCGAG